CACAAAGTACCATAACGTTGGTATCACTGTATATATAAATCCCCATTAAATTTCCTTTAATTGAACAAACTCCTAAGGGCTAGCATAAGAAAAAAAATTACATTACGAAACATTGTTTTTTTAAATCCTTACAATTAACAAAATACGAGAATACTAAGGGTGGTATTTTTTTTAATAAGTCTGTACCGAATGATTAAATAATCAGATTTACGTTTAAAATTATTATAATCTGAAAGGCTATGATATTCGATGGGAAAACAACCCTCTTTGGGGCACTTCGTTGAATAATATCAATTAGAACGTATTTTTCTTTTTTTTTGCTATTCATTAATGAACTTTCTGAAATTTGATACCCGACGTTATTGCGCGATGAGTAAAATCAATTGGGGTTAAAATTTATCATTATACCATTTCGTCCCCCTTGGCAAGGAGGATGGCCTGGGACAACTCAGAACCAGCGATAACACTTGTAATGGACCAAGTAAAATAATCTTCAGAAATTTCAGAGCATTAAAGCGGTCATCATGCGGGTGGCTGGAAGCGGAGGATTAATTACGATTTCGGCACTGAATCAGCTGACTATTGCTGCTCGTCCATTAGGGGTGAGTAATAATTGGGGAATGAGATAAGGCGAGAGAGGATGAAGTAAGATGAAGAGGGGAGAGATAGAGACAGAGACAAAGGGATAAGCGTGCACAGTACGAAGGGTATAATAAGATAGTGGGACACCAAGAATTCAGGAGGGTGGAAAATGGCATTTTAAACAAAAATCAACCCCCTTGATTCAAATTGAAAATTAGCCAATTAGTACTTTGAGACTATTGTATAGAGAGAGTTTCCGCGTTAGAAGCACCTTGGGATAATCTGATCGAATTCCAAATAACAAGTCCATGATCAATGTAAATGGTAGAATAATAATTATAATATAATCATAATGATAATTTTCAGGTATTTGTATGTATTTGTATCAGGTATTATATATACAGTCAACTTCGAAAAGCTGCTTAACTCGTGGACAGACTAAAGAAAAAAAAATCTATACAATATCATTAAATCTGTATATAGTATACGTAGTCGTATAATTATTTATAGAAATAAAGAAAAATGAAGTAAAAATGAAAATATATTTTCTTATCTTTCATAATTTCGTTGCTTCATCGATTAATCAAGATTTTCGATAATAAATGTGACTTTTCATAATAAAACATAATTTTACTTATCCATCTTCTGGTAGTTTTCACAAAATCTATTGTGAATCCGTAAATCTTTTTGTTGCCGTACGGTAATCATTAGGATCATTAGGATGAACGAGAAAACCAAGTGTGTGACTTTTTGAGAAAAGAGGGAAAAAGGATAATTCCCGATTATATATCGATTCTACTTGCGCAAAGAACGTTATTATACATTTATGGTATGTTTTTGTATATATATATATATATATATATATATATATTGTCATCATGATAATAGTAATAGTACTAGTACAGGGTGTATATCGAAACTCTGCCATCTTACGCAATGTTGATATTTTTTCACGAGCAAGGGGATGATAATTCTCCCTGGGTCGCTGCGCAACCCCTCTTTAATCATCCCTTTGGTGTCTGAAAAAAAGCATTACGCGCTCTCACAGAGCACAAAAAAATGTATACAGTTACATAAAATGAGCAGTTACATATTATTTTTTTCATTCTACATTTCCCTCTTTTCTTTCGTGCTCATCAAACTGATCCGTCACTGTTATTCGTATACGGAGATTCGGACTGCAGAATGAAATGAAAAAAAAAATATTAGAAGAATTTCAAGAATTTAAAAAAAATATCTTGAAAATCCATAGGGAACTCGAAAGCAAGATTACGCAATCGCATCTTTCTTGTTCCTCGTACAGTTCAGTATGTCGATTGCTAAACGACCCGTTGCAATCTGCCTTACATAGCATACCAAGTACGTCTGAATATTTTCACAATTTTCCGATCCAGGCCAATTCCCTCGATTGGTTTTTCTATTACAATTTTTCGATCACTTCGCATTTCTTCAGACCCGTTCGTTCCTTTTTCATATAATTCAACTCGTACCTTATCAAATCTCCCACTATTTCAACCCTACCTAACTGTACATTAAAGTCAGTAAAATAATTTTGTCGTTTACCTTTTCCCACTTTATTATATTACTTTGTCTTGAATTCTCTCGTCGACCTCAATGCGCCCATGTCGCGTTACTTTATGGTTTCGCATTAATGCCAGCCGTTTTACGTCAGCGGTGCTTTGCACGTAGCAAGATACAAGTCGTAACGTTTAAGGAATTCATATTGGTTTTATAATGGGACGAATCGAGCGAGCAACAATTTTTTTTTTCCAACGCTGTACGGAAAGTATACAGTTTGTGCACCAAAAAACAAGCACGAAATGGTCCATTCTTGATGAGTTCAGAGTGTGCGGGAATCATCAAGAATCGGCCATTTCGTGCTTCTTTTTGACGCATATCCTACGAACTTTCCGTACATTGTTGCAAAAAATAGTATATGATACGCGTGCGGCTTGATGGATGATTCCTACTCGTGTGACGTCTCACTCGTCAGGAATCATCAACTTTCCGCACTTGTATCATAATGTACTTTTTTCAAATTTCTAAACATTCGAGCATCCCTATTCCTTGCCACGTGCTTATAATACCCGTGAGAAAAATAATATAAAATTTGTTTAACCTAAATTTCAAAAAATCCTATTAATTACGTACGTCGAATAAATCGTCAATTATTTGCTATAAAAGCTACCATGGAATTTAAAAAATCTAATACAAATTTTTATTCCACAGCGTTGATCCGACACTCGTTTCTTCCTTAAAGGAATGTCGGACATGCTGTTTCCATAAATCAGATTTTTTTCCGCTCTTCTCCCCTATCCTCCACGTCGTTCGATATCGCATAATACGAAGCAGCAACAGCAAAGCAACTCGTGCGGATAAAACATGAAGGACGTGAATGCGAAGCGCGTTATATTCTGGAAAAAAGGAGATACAAATAAAAAAGATATTTTATTGAATTGGAAATTGAACGTCGTGATTGTCCCTAACCTAACCCAACTTAACCCAACCTAACCCAAGGGAACGGCATTATAAGCGACGCAGCTGGTTGGCATCATAAATCTTCGTATCATGTATATAGGTATAGTCAGTGATATAGGTGTGGAATCCTATCCCGTGGGAGAGAATAATTCAGGATGGAATGTACGAACGAAATAAAGAAAAAGAAAAAGATAATGGTTAGTGGAAGAGGAGGAACAAGTGTTTATTGTAATTATCAATGTACGTTGAGTGTCAATTACGACTAAATCGTAAAACTGTAGCAAATATGTGTTCACAATTTTAAGATATCTTTGGAATCAGTTAGTAAGAGGAATTTTAGAAATTTTGTATTTTCTGAAATAATACGTGTTTTTTTTTATATGGTTCCATGTAGGCTGTTTGTAAATGGCGGTATGGGAAAGGCTAGGTGGTTTAAACCCCTTATGCGAAAGTGGCTGTTCAATTTTACCCTTATCCCAGGGTTGAAAATGTAATCCCTCCGAATGCGAGAAAAAAAATAAAGAGGAAAACATTTAGAAATTTAAAAAAACTTGCTGAAATATGTTATGCCGTCAGTATTGTATGAAGAATTTATAAACGAAAAAATGCTGCTTATAGACTCTAATTTTTTTTTGTAATGTTGAGTACACCTCTGAATAATACACAGTGAAACTTCGGAAAAAAGAAAAATGTCACGGTTTTCTGAATTTTTTATTTATTACTGCGCTGCTTTAAATGAAACTTGAATTGTCATTAAGGTCGTGATTACACAGGAAAAAAAGAATATTAATATTTTAATGGTATCGTATCAAGAGAAACCCCGAGATGAGGAAAAGAGACGCATCCGGTAGGGACAGAAGAAAATTAATCTGCCTCGCGTTGAATTGGTTTTCGGAACTTTCTTGAAAAGTTCAACAAGCAATGTTTAATCGAGAACGGGAGAGTACGCCAAGAGAATTTTTAGATAAAAGTTTAAGACTTTCGGAATAATAAATTGTGAGAAAAATTTAAAATCCCTTGTCAAAATTTTATTATTTCATTAGAACGTACCAGCTGGTTACCCTGCTCAACCGTCTGCTCTCTAAGAAACTAGAATACGTGTTTCGAAAAAAATGCCCCAAAAAAAAAAGAGAAATAATTTGGAAAAATTCAAGCAAGTTTCCGAAATCGTTCTTAGCAAAAGTGTCGAAATCACTGACCCCCTCTTTATAAACTTTTCCGTCTCAAAAGACTTTCTCACGAACTGTATTTTTCTTCTCAATAAAGTAACTTTTTTTTGGCTTCAGTACGAAACACAGAAAAGAAAGTAAAAGAAGAAAAGAGTATAAAAAGGAATCGAGAATACTTGAGTCGGCAAAACCTCAGTCACTCTTGAAAAGAAAAAATAAAGAAAAAATTGGTTCGGTAAACTATGTGCATCTTAATATATTAAAATATATATATATATATATATATATATACATATATACACATAACCACCCACTTACCAAACAATTTAAAAGTATCGCTCAATACCAATAACTATGGTAAGACTTTCGTTCTACAATAAAAATATTATCAAAATAAAAAAAATTTCAAAGACATTAGTCAAAAGTGAAAATCGCTCCTTCTGTGTACGACGTAACATTTAATGAAGGGGTACTCATATCACTCTAGTCATTTGTCGGATCAATCAACGGATACGAGCCGATCGCCCGAGGCCTGAATGACTTTGAGGAACCATTCATACAGTACACAAGAGACCTGATCTTTAATCTCGACGATTCCAGGAACCATAACTAATAATTTTTATTCGATCGATCTCTTGGTCTCTCTCTTAGTACAATAAATTTTCTATATCGTATAATCATCCTCGTTGACTTAAAGTAGATACGTGACGTTAATAGTCAGCCGTTTGCAATAAACAAAGAAAGAATATAAAATAAAAATAATGTACCTACCTGTAACATAAACCACTTCCAGTCCAATACCTTCTAGAACGATCGAGCCTGAATTCCCTCTTCTCGCCGTCCGTAACGATTGAAACAAAGGTTTCTCGGCGACTCGAAAAGACGCGACAGATTTGAACGCAAGATAATCCCAATTAAGTTTCAAACCGAACAGCATCCAGAGCTAATAAGCTTCCAAGATCTGTCTTGAATTCTCGTCTTGTTTTCTTCGATCGCCATTGTCTGTCTGAGACTGCTTGAATATTTTTTCTCTTTATTCACGTCCAACGTGGACGGTTTAACGGCTTGACGTTTGTTACGCGACGCGAGCGCCGCACGGTGGACGAATAAGGTACTTTGAGATACAGCGAATACGAACGCCGCCCGGTGGGAAAGAAGGGAAACGTTGATGTTTATTTTTTTAAATCTCAAAAACAAAATCGAATCCTACAGGAATTTTGTGTAAATTCTTATTTTTACACGTTTTCACGTTTATTCGCTTCTCGAAACTGTATACATTCGTACCTACCAACGAAACACGTACAAAGAAATGTCTGGCTAGTATCAGACATTGCCTACTGAATGTATCCAATAACTCAAACACTCCATATCCGTTTCCAAACTTCCTCAATATATTTAATACTGAATTTCTTTCATATTGTCCCCAAAATAGCAATAACACAGATACGTTACAACAAATAAATGTAAATAAAACAACATTCGATAAGAACCATCTCAACTTTAAGCCCTTTAAATATATCCAACAAATATATTACATTCTCTTCAAAAATCTTATATACTATTCTTGTCTGGCTACGACAAACCTACCTAACACAAACCAAAGTTTGATAAGTTTTCGTCGCAAGCCGCTTATCATTATTTCATTCCTCGAGCATATTGCCGTTCCAAAATCATACGTATGTACACAAACAAAAATTACCTGATTCTCTTTGTCAGTTTATTTTCTCAAACTGGTCTCCCCCCCCCCCC